GAGTAAGGGCCATTACCAAGTTCATATATGACTTACTGCATACTGCTAGGATCGGCAAGCTCGATAGTTTCATGTTTGGTAAATAGAATAAGAAAAGATGGTAAGTCAGTTTTGAGTTCGGTAAAAAAGAGAAAGTCTCTATAAGTTTACGCATGAATTGAGGGAAGGTGATATTTATTGGCTGGCTCTTCACCTCAAGCCTTGGCCTGATTATCGCTCTTATTCTTTCTGTTTTTAAAAAAGGGATCAATACGAGATGAAAAGGTTTATAACGGATTCTTTCTAAGCTTTTTCCATGTCATGATGTGAGCGTCTCTCAATTTACCAGCCGTTGTAATCTGTGTACTTCATTGTAAGCGATACCTATCAAAGAAAGTGATCAGTTTTTTTTCTGGGCATACTTTAAACGAGCTTCATTAAAGCGCAGTGGACTAGTTTGTTAGTTTAACCAGTCGTAAGTTCCAAACAATAAATTTATCTACTCTTGGATCTATTAAAAAGGGTTAGAATCTAAGTATTGAGTGGATCATTGATTGTGTTTTGTTTATATAAAAAAAAAGGGTATCACAGAGGTCTGTGCCCTCCCTTGTCATGATTCGTTTTCAAGTTGAGTCCCTGCAAACTTTTCACGCTCTTTATTTCTAAATTCTCCTGATCTGTTCCCCGAAGCAAGGTCGTTACGAACTCTGATTCTCGGACTGATTGAATAGTTCGCTCCAACTTCTTTCCGATCGGTTCCTTCGCTTCGTAGCGGTGGTCTCCCTCGCAGCCGTTTTTAGGGTCGTCACGCAACGCTCCTTCCCACCAACGGCTCCTCACGAGAGACACATTCCTTTCCCTAAAATTGACCAATAAGAAACAGGCTTCCATAATGTGGAAACCTGGTCCAAGTCCCTCTCCATTACTTGAAAGTAAACAAACTGTTTTTGCAATTCTTGAGGGTGGACCGTGAGCCAAAGCTTTCATAATTGGTTCCATATTGCCAGACAGTGTCTTGTTCACGGTCTTACTGGGCTACTCAGCAACGACCTTCGTCTTTGTTTCATTTTTTTGGCTGATTTGTTTGTTTTATCTTTGGACTCGATGTGACAAATGGGGCGGCGAAGCGCTTCGTATCAGTGAAAACGTGCCATTGTCAAATAAACAAGCTTATGGTTTACCAATTGTACTTAAAGTGAGCCTTGGTAAGGTTGAACTCGAGGGAGTTAAGTTGGAAGAAGTACAAGTCGTAGGAAATTCATTTAAACTTACAAATGAAAGATGTTTTTTGACGGATGTCCCGCCGACAGGTGTTCTGATTGAGTTATATTTTCGGTGCGCAGCAATCGTTTCAAACGTTTGCCACTCTCTGAATAAGCAGACTTGAGCTCAGTCTTTATCTCTCTGACATGTTCTTCCGCTTTTTGGTATTTCGCACCAAAGACTTGAAGCATTTAATGCACACTGCAACGTCCGAATCAGAGTAAACATTTACGTCGATGTCCAGTCCCTTGTTTATAAGTCCTTGAAGGTCAACAGAGCTTCTTCCCGTACTACCAGATTTAAAAACACGAACACGTTGTTTAGAAGTGATTGTTGCTGAACAAATAAAGCAATTTGGATCACTATTCAATATCTTTTTCGGAGTCACATTCATCTTCCACTTGGGTGAGACCGCGCACGTACGTATCTGCTCTTTGTCTCGCGCGCCCAGCAAATCTAAGGAATTTGATTGGCGCAGCCGATAAAAATAGCGTGCATTTTATTGGTTGTCAATAACAAAGAGAAAGGAATGTGTCTCTCTCGTGAGCAGCCGCTGGTGGGGAGGAGCGTTGCGTGACGACCCTTAAAACGGCTGCGATGGAGACTACGTAGGGGCGGCAAGATGCAAATTTTCGTGCAGAGTTCCAACCCATCAGACCTTTCGGACCCCAAAACGGTTTCTCTTCTTCTTCACGTGCATCAAAATGGCGGACGCTGTCTCTTTCAATAACGATAACTTCAATAACGTTCCACCGCCTTCGGGAACTGCGGTAGATCCAAGTTCAGCTTTTGCTGACGCATTGAAAAGAGCTAAAGAGGTAATGTTGATTCTAGGGGTTGAAAGTGTTCTTTTGTGCCGATTTGAACAGGAAATTTCTTTATTAGATTGCCGCTCGGATGGGATCAAGTAGCGCCGCGGCGGCTGAGAGTTCGGCGGAACAAGGTGTGTAAATGTCGTGATTCGACATAAAATCATCAGTCTCATTTCTTAAAACGGTTATTGTGAAATTCTAAAAGGAATTAGAACCTTGATAATTGTTTCTTTTGTCTCTTTGGGCAGAAATTGGTAAGAAGAGAGCATTCGAGTTTGACGGTAAGTTTTGCTAATGGGAGCGAAATCAATCGTAATGATAGCTTGAGATCCTCTCGCTTTTTCTCTAGATGTGTAACCTCTCGCGGAGTCATATATTGTCTGCTTTTTTTTAGGTGGTATTGAAGAAATCCCCATGAAAAAACCAGCGATGGAAGGTGGGATCTATTTTGTAGACGTGAACAAATGATAAATTTAAAATAAGCTGAACATTGTGAAAACGGCGTGGTTTTGGTGGATGTTGACTTCGAATTAGCTTAGTGAGATCAGTTAGTGTAAAACGTTGGTGACCTTTTCCACCTTAGTTAGATGAATTAGAAACTGACTGCGTGCTTTCGAACTTTAATTTTCTTTAAAACAGCTGTGAATTTCATTGCGTAAATCGCCCAATGTTATTTAGCTTCCTAGTAAGCCCGTGGTAGCATGATTATTTGCAGTATGTTATTGTGTAGCGAAAAAGCAACGTGTTGCAGGTACCCATTTTGCCAAATGAAGAGATTTAAATTGTCAAGTACTTCTAAAGTTTCTGTGAACTATAATGGCGATTTTTAGAATACCCAAGGCAAATAACTGCATCATGAAGAAAGCTATCACACGAAAGCTATCTATCAGTAGCTATACTCATGTCAACTTGTTGGATTTCCTGTGGTTTTCTGTCAACCTTAACGTCTTAAAATCAGTACACATATTTTTCATACTGTTCTCCATTCATTTCCTAAAATATTTACAAGGAGAATGTTTCTTATAATCAAGAGCTGCTTTAGTTGGTGATCATTTCCCTTATTCTCGTGACCTTATTGTTTGATTCAGGGGTGATATTGTTGGGAGAAATTATATGTTTATCAACCTTAGTAGTTTAACCCTTTAACTCCCATGAGTGACCAACACAGAACTTCTCCCTAACCATATGAATACAATATCAAGCAGACTAGTGAGGAGAATCAAGGAAAATATCATTGAGGGGATTATTGGTCGACTCAATACCAAATTCTCCAAAACCAGCATCATAAGGAGAGTTAGGAATGAGATCTTGGGAACGAAAGAGTTAAGAGTTGAGATAATTTGTCTTCTCAGTCTTACTTTTTCCTAAATTTTTTTGCAAAGCTCATTGGTCATACTTTTTATGAGCCCAGTCACTGTTATCTCAAAATTACAGGTGTTTCATAAATGTTTTCAGCAGGAGGGCAACTGGTTTTCACAGGCGGGCAAAAGTTCTTGAACTGAATTTCTTTATCAGGTAAACTTTTCTCCGGATCCCCAAACCAGGTGGGCAAAACTGTCCTCATCTCTGGTCAATTTGCCTGGGGCCCAGCCCTTAATTAAACCCCCAAAAATTATGACAGTTGTTGTACATGTATTCTATTTTTGGTTTAAAATATGTTCCTTGCACCAAAAGTCCTCAGTTGGGGTCATGTTTTTGTCAATATAATTAAGAGAGTATTGTTCATAAATGTAAAGAAAAGTTTTAGTTGGTTGACATTTATAAATTTGGCTTCCAGCTCCTATGGATGGAAAAGATCCAAAATCAATTGCTATGCAAGTGGCTGCAAGTTTGGCACAAAGGTAATGTTTGTGCTTGTACATATGTTGAAGATATGTTTGGAATCAGAATACAAAAGAAGTAACTTATAGTTCATTTTTGGGATGAGGTTATAGTGAGTGTTTCCTCTAAGATGTAAATGTAACTTTTTCACTGGACAAAGAGTACTATAATTCACTCAAACAGCAATACTACAATTTGATCATTGAATAACATTGAATAAATGTTATCAGCTCATCAATTTCTGTATGTATCCAGGATGAATAATGATATCCTTTCCTGTGAAAGTAACAAAACTTTTTTTATTTAAAAAGAGCTGGTCTTGGATCATTAGTAGCAGAGGAAATGAAAATTCCAAACAGATTTGTTGGATTAAGTAAGTGCGGAGAGTTCATTTCGTAGATGTGTGAGTTATAGTTGAGGTCAATCTTGAACAATCTCAGTTACTCCTGGATTCTCACCTGTTTCAGTTATTGGACGTGGTGGAGAACAGATTAACAAACTTCAGTCAGAAACTGGTGCCAAAATACAAGTTGCTCCTGGTAAAAAATGTTCTCTTTTCCATTAAACTGAAAATTTAGCATTAAATTAGAAAGGAACTCTAACAGTTGAGCAAGGCGATGTTCAGTTTATGTCTGAACTGGGTCATACAAGCTGTAGACGTGACTAACAATCACAAACTTTAGTACAGGAAATACTAAATTTATTCAAATTTAGTTTAAATGTATCTGGGGATGATGTATTTTGAAGGAGAGATTTTGAGTACACAAGAGAATTGACTCTGTTATTTGTTTATTTGTTATAGATCCTCCTCCTGGTCAGATGCCGCCTCCAGATCGTCATGTCTCTATAAATGGAACACGCGAAGCTGTGGAGTAAGTTTATCTTATGCTTTGAATATATCAACAAAGTTGAAATGGTAAATTGGCCACGATTATGATTATAAAAGCTGACGTTTTGAGCATTAGCCCTTCGTCGGAGYGAAGGGCTAACGCTCGAAACATCTGCTTTTATAATCGTAACGGTGGCCAATTTACCATTCCAACTTTGTTGATATATTCAAATTATTTCGTTACCCCCACTGACGCAGCCCCAAACAGTTTCTTTAGAAACTATCAACCTTTATCTTATGCTGTCTAAGTAGCATTGTAGTAAAGATTCTTCAGCAATTTCTTGTTTAATCCCATTTTGTTCCTCACACAGATGTTAACATTTTACTGAACATCTTAAAGATGAAAATAAAAGATTGCTGTATTTGATTTTCAGTTGCCTTTGTGGTTGTCATTTTATTTCCTACTTCACCGTGGGTTTATTGCTGTTGGAAGAATTTACCCTGTGTTAGCTTGAGATTAAGTGAAAGTTGAATTATCTCGACATGTAAATGCAAGTTCACGCGCTGTAAGATAATTTATGGATCAAGGTAAATTTCAGTGAGAAAACCTACTTTAAGACTCAATCTATTACTGTTCCTTTCTCTATCAAAACAGGAAGGCAAGAAATTTGTTAAACAAAATATGTGAGGATGGAAAGATTCCAGAATCTTTGGTGAGGATGGTTTTATTAATCTTAAAAGGATAATAATAACTCATAATAATATATTGATTTCTATAGCGCATTTCCATGTAAATGCTCTAATGTGCTTTACAACACTGTGTGGGGGACTTTTCCAGACTGCCGGTGGCAGTCTACAATTAATAAAGGAAAAATTTTACAGATGCCCCCTCCCCCCCATTCCCAGTAAACAGGCCAGACCACATCACAGTAATCTCATGATGTGGTTTCTTTAACGTCCCCTGCCGAAGTTAACTAATTGATAGGTGCAGGAGACGGGACGTCCGGCTTTACGTCCTTTCCAAGAAGACGAAGCAATGTGAGTGAAGTGTCTTGCTTGAGGACACAAGGTCAAGCCCCAGCCAGGACTTGAACTTGGGCCATCTGACCCAGAGTCCAGCGCACTGACCACTGGACTACGCACGCCTCACACGTGGAGGATGTGTTCTAACCTTGACCATTATCCACAAAGAACAGCCAAATTTGGACACCACCAACATATGACTGTGTATCTGATAGTTATAAGCATGTAAAGCAGTTGGAATTTTTTAAAAATTTTCTTCTGAGTGTCAAGCTCTATGGAGACTAAAACTCCCAAGACATGATTATTAATTCTCCCCTGTAACTACTGTACATTGAGTGAAGAGAATCTGGATTAGATGAGGAGAACAACTTCTACTTGATAAGTTTGGGTATTCTCATGACCTGTTTTCTGGGTAATGTATGGAGATTATTGGGAGAAATTGCATGTTTATCACTTCTGGGGGATAAAGGGTCAATTCATACTAGATCTGTGATGTGTAAAAGAGGTAAATAGAAGAATCAATATTGTTTTGTTACTGTTGTGTTCCAGATGTCATCACCAGTTGTTGCCCCAGGTGAACAAGTCATTGAAATGATGATACCTGCCAGTAAAGTGGGACTTATTATTGGTGAGTGTCAAACATATACATGAGATTTCTCCTGAACTGATTAACTACTTTACAGGGTTTTTTCAGTGGGGAAGGGGGACATGTCATGAAAGTAAAGGGGGTGACTGTGCTAAAGCAAATAGCTTAGTAGCTTAGCTTGGAGTGGAGATAATTTCCTTTTCCATCTCAGTCCTCACTGTTTCAAAGCAAAACAACACCCTTTGCTACACATGTTATATTCTCCCAAGGTATTAATCACAGGAAGATTCTCTTTGATATACAGTGTGGCTATGGGCTCCTTATAAAACGCCTCTTAGTATGGAAATCTTACTGATCTCCGTCCAATTTTCTTTTTGTTACAGGAAAAGGAGGCGAGACCATTAAGGCTCTTCAGGTTCATTGTTTTCTGATTTGAATTTATTGGGTAACTGCATGAGAGAGAAACTGTAAATCTCTCTTATGCAGTTTCTGAGAACACCTGGAGGTTTTCCTCCATGCAAAGACACTACAGTGTACCTTGTTCAGACTGATCTATTTAGGTTTTGTTGAATATATCAGCCATTTCTTACTCTGAGACCATTGTTATTAATGAATCAATTTGCAGCTTTGATAGCTCCATGAAACTAAAAAGTGTAGAACCTAAAATTATCCGAGTTAAGACAGAAGTTAAAATGATTCATGTTACTTCTTTTTGTTGGAGTTGTGAAGTATTTTTGAAAGTGGCTTTTCTTGCAAATGTCTAGGAGAGAGCACAGTGTCGTATGATGATGATTCAGGATGGCCAATATCTAAATGCTCCAGAGAAACCTCTGAGAATCATGGGAGATGCCATGAGAACGCAAAGAGGAAAGGATCTCGTACAAGATTTACTTACTGAGAAAGAGCTTGAGGTCAGTGGGCAAGGGACAAACAGGAATTGGCAGGTGAGGACCAAGCAAACAGGGATTTAGTCAGGAATTAAATATCAGACCAATTTTTTTTTTTTTTAATCTGAAAAGTATTCAATGGTTGGTTCTGGGTGTTGGTGTTTTTGGAACCACACACTTCATGATGATTGAGCTCCATGACTGAGATTTTACTTTGTATGCAAGACAATGTTTTCTAAAATAATATTCTTGAAAATCTACATGATTAGAGATTTTAAGACCTTTCTTTAAGCTTTTGAGCAGCTGTAAGTAATGAAATACAAAGGAAGATATGATATCAGCACTCTCGACTGTAACCTTTTTGTTTGCCATGGCCACTGTAGAAGAATTTTGATGACTTGATATGCAAAGTGGCCTACTTGGCAACATGCTGGTAACTTCTGGGGGTCATGTAGCAAGGTTTTATGTTTCTATGACTCATATACACCTAAAGTTGGAGTGAGATAAACATTTGTACATAAAATCAGTTAATGTTCTACAAGATCTCCTTTTCTGGTGACTAAAATTTTTAATTCTTTCTATCATTTAAAAGTTTTACTTGTAGTTGGCCTAATTGGGATTTTAAACAATAGAATAAGCTTGGAGCTCCGATAATGTGTAGATAATGCTATTTTTTTTATCATCCTTGGTACAGTTGTTCATAATTATAGTTTACCAGAAATAAGTGCTAATGCTTGAGCACAACAGCTTTTATTTTTTAATACTTGACAGAATGATCATTAGCTGGTACATGTACATTTAGTAGCCATGGTTTGGATTAAACTTTACAGAAATGTGATGTTCATAAATAATTTTATTGAATCTTAGCAAAACATGCCAGGATCAGACTATAAAGGAAATAGACATCAGATGGACAGAAATCAGCCTGGTATGCAGCAGATTGAGGTATGTAAAATATGTGCACTTAAAGTCAATGTACAGCATTAAAGCTTACTTGCCCCTTTCTGTCAGGGCTTGTTCTGGTTTTTCACAAAGCTGGAATGCCAATCCATCCCAGATATTCCCCAACAATTTCTCAAAATTCCGCATTTATAGTTCTGGGTGTGGAAACTTACTGTGAGAGTCCATTGTCTTACCTAAGAACAGAGCACACTGACCACACTTTGGAGTTGAACTCCAACCTTTGATCCACTATCCAGTGGGCCATGACAGGACAGAAAATGTGTGCACTGAAAGTACCCTCCTGTTGTCCCATACAACGCCTTAGAAAAGTTTTCTAAGGCTTTGTATGGGACAACGGGAGGGTACTTACTGTGCACACATTTTCCGTCCTGTCATGGACCACTAGACCACAGCAACCCCATCATATAGTTGCCACAAGACTGATCTCAGTCAGCATCTATGCAAAGAAGGTACTTCAGATGGCAAAATTGGCCCCTTTTTGTATCAAAATAAACTGCCCAACTCGAGAATTTACCATAACCCTGTCCTCTTTCTCTTATATAGTAAGTAAACACTTCATTTATAGAGGGTAGCACTAAATAGCTAGAAGCTAATGAACTTGTGGCCCTCAGAACACCCACCCATCCCACCCCAAGGGAGGACATCTATCACACAGTAATCTCTTGCATGGGAAATTAACATCTCCTACCCCTAACCCTGCAGAAAACGGGGCCTAC